ATGAGGAAGTGGGAGGTGAAATGGGGAGGTGGGAGGTGATATGAGGAAGTGGGAGGTGAGAGGTGACATGGGGAGGTGGGAGGTGATATGGGGAGGTGGGAGGTGATATGAGGAAGTGGGAGGTGATATGGGGAGGTGGGAGGTGATATGGGGAGTTGGGAGTTGATATGAGGAAGTGGGAGGTGATATGGGGAGGTGAGAGGTCATATGGGGAGGTGGGAGGTGATATGGGGAGGTGGGAGGGTATATGAGGAAGTGGGAGGTGATATGGGGAGGTGGGAGGTGATATGGGGAGGTAGGAGGTGATATGAGGAAGTGGGAGGTGAAATGGGTAGGTGGGAGGTGATATGAGGAAGTGGGAGGTGATATGGGGAGGTGGCATGTGATATGAGGAGGTGATATGAGGTGGTGGCATGTGATATGAGGAGGTGAGAGGTGATACGGGGAGGTGGGAGGCGATATGGGGAGGTGGGAGGTGATATGAGGAGGTGAGGTGATATGGGGTGGTGGGAGGTGATATGAGGAGGTGGGAAGTGAGACGTGAAATGGGGAGGTGGGAGGTGATATGAGGAGGTGAGAGGTGATATGAGGAGGTGAGAGGTGATATGAGGAGGTGGGAGGTGATATGGGGAGGTGGGAGGCGATATGAGGAGGTGAGCGGTGATATAGGGTGGTGGGAGGTGATATGAGGAGTTGGGAAGTGAGACGTGATATGGGGAGGTGGGAGGTGATATGGGGTGGTGGGAGGTGATGTGGGGAGGTGAGAGGTGATATGGGGTGGTGGGAGGTGATATGGGGAGGTGGGAAGCGAGAAGTGATATGGGGAGGTGGGAGGTGATATGGGGAGGTTGGGAGGTTATATGGGGTGGTGGAAGGTGATATGGGGAGGTTGGGAGTTGATATGGGGAGGTGGGAGGTGATATGAGGAAGTGGGAGGTGATATGGGGAGGTGGGAGGTGATATGGGGAGGTAGGAGGTGATATGAGGAAGTGGGAGGTGATATGGGGAGGTGGGAGGTGATATGAGGAAGTGGGAGGTGAAATGGGGAGGTGGGAGGTGATATGAGGAAGTGGGAGGTGATATGGGGAGGTGGCATGTGATATGAGGAGGTGATATGAGGTGGTGGCATGTGATATGAGGAGATGGGAGGTGATACGGGGAGGTGGGAGGCGATATGGGGAGGTGGGAGGTGATATGAGGAGGTGAGGTGATATGGGGTGGTGGGAGGTGATATGAGGAGGTGGGAAGTGAGACGTGATATGGGGAGGTGGGAGGTGATATGAGGAGGTGAGAGGTGATATGAGGAGGGGAGAGGTGATATGAGGAGGTGGGAGGTGATATGGGGAGGTGGGAGGCGATATGGGGTGGAGGGAGGTGATATGAGGAAGTGGGACGTAATATGGGGTGGTGGGACGTAATATGGGGAGATGGGAAGTGATATGAGGAAGTGAGAGGTGATATGGGGAGGTGGGAGGTGATATAGGGAGGTGGCAGGTGATATGGGGAGGTGGGAGGTGATATGAGGAAGTGGGAGGTGATATGGGGAGGTGGGAGGTGATATGGGGAGGTGGGAGGTGATATGAGGAAGTGGGAGGTGATATGGGGAGGTGAGAGGTGATATGGGGAGGTGGGAGGTGATATGGGGAGGTGGGAGGTGATATGAGGAAGTGGGAGGTGATATGGGGAGGTGGGAGTTGATATGGGGTGGTGGGAGGTGATATGAGTAAGTGGGAGGTGATATGGGGAGGTGGGAGGTGATATGAGGAAGTGGGAGGTGAAATGGGGAGGTGGGAGGTGATATGAGGAAGTGGGAGGTGAGAGGTGATATGGGGAGGTGGGAGGTGATATGGGGAGGTGGGAGGTGATATGAGGAAGTGGGAGGTGATATGGGGAGGTGGGAGGTGATATGGGGAGGTGGGAGGTGATATGAGGAAGTGGGAGGTGATATGGGGAGGTGAGAGGTGATATGGGGAGGTGGGAGGTGATATGGGGAGGTGGGAGGTGATATGAGGAAGTGGGAGGTGATATGGGGAGGTGGGAGGTGATATGGGGAGGTAGGAGGTGATATGAGGAAGTGGGAGGTGATATGGGGAGGTGGGAGGTGATATGAGGAAGTGGGAGGTGAAATGGGGAGGTGGGAGGTGATATGAGGAAGTGGGAGGTGATATGGGGAGGTGGCATGTGATATGAGGAGGTGATATGAGGTGGTGGCATGTGATATGAGGAGGTGAGAGGTGATACGGGGAGGTGGGAGGCGATATGGGGAGGTGGGAGGTGATATGAGGAGGTGATGTGATATGGGGTGGTGGGAGGTGATATGAGGAGGTGGGAAGTGAGACGTGAAATGGGGAGGTGGGAGGTGATATGAGGAGGTGAGAGGTGATATGAGGAGCTGAGAGGTGATATGAGGAGGTGGGAGGTGATATGGGGAGGTGGGAGGCGATATGAGGAGGTGAGCGGTGATATGGGGTGGTGGGAGGTGATATGAGGAGTTGGGAAGTGAGACGTGATATGGGGAGGTGGGCGGTGATATGGGGTGGTGGGAGGTGATATGAGGAGTTGGGAAGTGAGACGTGATATGGGGAGGTGGGAGGTTATATGGGGTGGTGGGAGGTGATGTGGGGAGGTGGGAAGCGAGAAGTGATATGGGGAGGTGGGAGGTGATATGGGGAGGTTGGGAGGTTATATGGGGTGGTGGAAGGTGATATGGGGAGGTTGGGAGGTGATATGGGGTGGTGGAAGGTGATATGAGGAGGTGGGAGGTGATATGGGGAGGTGGGAGGCGATATGAGGAGGTGAGAGGTGATATGGGGTGGTGGGAGGTGATATGAGGAGTTGGGAAGTGATACGTGATATGGGGAGGTGGGAGGTGATATGGGGTGGTGGGAGGTGATGTGGGGAGGTGAGAGGTGATATGGGGTGGTGGGAGGTGATATGGGGAGGTGGGAAGCGAGAAGTGATATGGGGTGGTGGGAGGTGATATGAGGAGTTGGGAAGTGAGACGTGATATGGGGAGGTGGGAGGTGATATGGGGTGGTGGGAGGTGATGTGGGGAGGTGAGAGGTGATATGGGGTGGTGGGAGGTGATATGGGGAGGTGGGAAGTGAGAAGTGATATGGGGAGGTGGGAGGTGATATGGGGAGGTTGGGAGGTTATATGGGGTGGTGGAAGGTGATATGGGGAGGTTGGGAGGTGATATGGGGTGGTGGAAGGTGATATGAGGAGGTGGGAGGTGATATGGGGAGGTGGGAGGCGATATGAGGAGGTGAGAGGTGATATGGGGTGGTGGGAGGTGATATGAGGTGTTGGGAAGTGAGACGTGATATGGGGAGGTGGGAGGTGATATGGGGTGGTGGGAGGTGATGTGGGGAGGTGAGAGGTGATATGGGGTGGTGGGAGGTGATATGGAGAGGTGGGAAGCGAGAAGTGATATGGGGAGGTGGGAGGTGATATGGGGAGGTTGGGAGGTTATATGGGGTGGTGGAAGGTGATATGGGGAGGTTGGGAGGTTATATGAGGTGGTGGGAGGTTATATGGGGAGGTGGGAAGTGAGAAGTGATATGGGGTGGTGGGAGGTGATATGGGGAGGTGGGCAGTTTAATGGGACTTTCTTGTATATGCTTTTGTCACCATGTGTCTGTGTCTTTCGGGACTATAGAGCTCCGGGAGTTGACGTCACTTCTCCTGGCATGAAACAGTTCATATCGAAGCTGCACCATCTTGGCAGGCAGAAGCCCGCAGCTGGGCTACTTGTTATTGTCAGAAAACTCAATCAAACGGGGTAGATTCCTGTTGTGCCCCAGGATGCCAGAACAGACGCGGACTCCGCAAACGTTGGATCATTGTAATAAAACGCGCTAGTGACTGGGCTAAAATGAAACTGTGGGACCCCGAGAGTAAAGGTTTTCACTTATGCAGCGACCGCTTCATATCAGGTACTTAAACCAACGTTTCCTCAACTGTGTATGGTATTTATTTTAAATGCTTTTATTACGATTCTTAGTGGGCTTCCTAAACTTATTTTGGCGTGGCTTTTTCTGTCTTATTACTCATAGCAACAAGTAAACGTCACGTAAAACGTTGTCTCGTGTGTTCTGCGTGCTGCCGTTTACGTGTTTTATGATCACAGCAATTAACCGGCTTATCTGTATTTCATTTTAAGCAATGGTTGATCAATTGTCAGATCACACATAAAAAGCACTTTGGATTGCTATTATCTGTCTCACCGAGACAGATCTCAGACAGATCCTGAGACGCTCCTGTCTGACATATTTATTTTATTCACGGAAAAAAAAATCTGACTAGTGATTTCTCTTGGCGTTCAGTTTATACATTCAAACTGCACAGCACTCTATTTAAACTACTTACATGTAAATATATGTCATTTGTCCATCCATCCATCCATTTTCATCTGCTTATCCGGAGTCGGGTCGCGGGGGCAGTAGCGTCGAGAGGCTCAGACTTCCCTCTCCCCAGCCACTTGGGCCAGCTCCTCCGGCGGAATCTCAAGGGGTTCGCTGGCTAGGTCCGCTCCGACAGCTTCTGGCGTTTTTAAAAAGTATCCCAGGGGCACGGTAAGGGTCGGAGATGTTTAGTCTATTTAATTTCTGACTATATAAAACGATTTCTTTGGTTTTAAAGTGTGAAGTAAACTCTGACAAAGTAAAATCCAAGCCGATCCCGTTCATTTTGTTTACCTTTGTTGCCTGCCAACATGGCGTCTACTCTCTGAGAGTCACGTGACGTCCGGAGCTCTATAAAGTTGTATGCATGCTTCCATTCTGGGCTCATTCTCTGATCTTTTTTATGCCTCGGTAATAAATAATGTTCAATCTTTTCATTGTGTGGTTCATCCGTTCAATGAAAAATTTCCACGACATTTTCCAGGTACAAGAAAAGTCCCCAGGCTCCGCATAAGCCTGTTAATCACCCACTGACTAAAATAACATGCTGTATGGTGGCCCTAGAGGACCAGGGTTGGAGATCACTGAAAGAAATACCTTATGGTTGCGTCCATGTTTGTCTAGGAGAGAGATAATGGATCTGATGTGTTCCTCTTTGATGATGTTCAGGGCCTCAGGGCTTTCCACCAGCACACAGTGAAGCACCTCTAAGATACCTAAAACAATAAAAGACACTGAGAACTGGTTCCATGGCTCAAAGAACAGTCAAATGTGTTCTTATATGATACATCCATATATAAGGTAGCACCATTTTGCTCTGTGGACATTTAAGTTGTGAGCTGACGGACCTGAAGAAGCTTCCAGCCACTCAAGTCTGCTGATGAGCCAGTCCAGAGAACCAGAGAACTGGGCACAGTTTTTCCTGTTTCCCCGGATTAGTGCAGCTGGAAGGACACAGAAGACAGTCGTTGACAAGACTTGAGTCTTGAGATGGGCATGTTGGATCAATCTCTTCTGGTTGTGTTTACCCAGCAGTTGGTAAAAGGAGTTGAGAATGGCGCACCAGGCCTCTGCAGCCTCCCGTCCAACGACTTCAGCAAAATGAGCCACGCTGCTGTACACATGCAGACGATCGATGCATTCCAAAACCAGGCTGATCATTCCCTGCAGAAAACAGCCAAGAGATCAAAACTGGTCTTCATTCAAGGAAATCTTACACTGCTTTCAGATAATCATGATTTATTTTAGAATACTTTCATTTTTCTGATTATTGTTTCTAAAAACAATCCACAACAATCCAGAATCTAGTCATGAAAAGCAGGTTTTTGGTTTGATTATTTGTAAAAGTATATATTAGCAGGAAAACAAGAGAAATTGACTGCTTCTGCACCAATCAGTCAACTTTCTTTAACCCTCTGGAGGCAGGCGTCGCAGATTTGCTACGTAAAAACCTACCTACCTGGTTACTCCACATAAGTATTTCATGAGCATTTTTTAACTCAGAAGTACCCCCTGAAGGACTTGGTTGTTTGTCCTTTTATCAAAACTTATTTTGAGCCTGAGAGGGTGAAAAGACTAAGGTCTGAACTAGGGCTGGGCGATATGGCAAAAATAGAATATCACGATTTTTCCAATATTTTTTCACGATTTCGATTTTATCACGATTTTTTATCCATGAATAGCATAACTTCAATTGCGTATTAAAGAAGTGAAACATTGAATAAACAAACATTTATTCATATTAGGGATAATCAACACAGTGCTAACACACTTATATTTTAAACTCACACCAGAGATGATAAAAGCCCTGAGAGAAACAATTAGAAAAATCAGTTTTTCTCGTTTTTCAAGTAACTTAACATAAATTAAAATCGTAAAAATATTTAAAGTGCAAACATGTCAATTGCAAACGTACTGTGCAAACATTAACTTGTTCAAAATACTATGTAGCTCCCAGTTGCTCATGTAGTGGATAGTTAAGCTCAAATACGGCTCTGATGTGCGGCTGGACCAGAGATCGCTTGTGGTAGCAAATAACTGCGCATTCTGAATATTTTCTGCAACTCTCACTTTGCATTCAGCGTACATGCGTGGAATGGCGGTGTTCGAAAAATACTTGCGGCTGGAAAACTCATAGCGCGGATCCAATGTTTTTATCATTTTCTTAAATCCCGCTCCTACTGTTCGCACGGGACACAAATCTTTAACCAAGTGGTACGTCACTGCATCTGTCACGCTGTTCCATCGTCTGCTGTCTCTGCCGTAGGGAGTGAGTTTTGTGAGTGTTTGTTAGCGTTTGCTGCCTGGAAGAAGCACTAGCCGCTGCAGCCGCAGGCTTTTTAGCTTTAGCTGCCTGCTGGATCTCATTGTATTGTTTGGGATGCCTTCTTTTCAAGTGATTAAACAAGTTTGTGGTGTTGCCATCACTTGCCTTGACGCTCTCCTTGCAAACTTTGCAAATGACGTTTCGTTGCTCTTTGTCATCTGGTGAAAAACCAAACCAGTTCCATATAACGGACGAGGCGTTCTTCTTCGGAACGAAAACCTCGTTGTCGCTCTCAGCCGCGGCCGAAGCCATGTTTGTTCACACACAGGTGAAAACAAGCGGGGCACTAATATATTACTATGACTCACTCTGATTGGTTCAGGGTCAAACAAAGGCGTGTCATTCGCTGGAGGTAAGTTCCCTTTTCATTCAGAGGCAGAAATTCAACAGCAGAGCTGTGAATCGTGATAAAAAGGTCTCTCAAAAATGACAGACCGTCAGATGTGTAGATCGTAAAACGGTCTAAAATCGTCATATCGCCCAGCCCTAGTCTGAACATATAAACACAATGAACAATACTGAATCTGAATCCAAAAATGGAAAGGCATCTAAATGGATCAAAACTTGTATCTATCTGGTACACGAATCATGTCTCCATATTCTTCTTCCTGTTAAGTATTTACAATTAAGCTAATGATTTTCAGAGCTATGTGTCTCAGTTGTCACATTCATAAAATACACTGCCCAGCACAAAAGAGTCTCAATCTGGATTTCATTGTAACAGAAAGCAATGTTTTTTCCCTCCTTTGCTCAAGACTAGTCTGCATGAGATATGGTCTCAAGGTCTCATGCATTCCTTCTAACCTGCTTATTTTCAGCTCGACAGAAGAATGAAGAATGAACTCTTTTGTTTTAATTAATCAAAGAACTCTATTTTAATAAAGCTAATCCATCAAAGTGTTAGTCAATAAATAAGATGTGACCAACCTGTGAAATCAAAATATTAATTACTTTATTGTAATCCTATAAAATATAAAGGTACTGTGACTTTAAGTGTTCCAACAGGACTCATTTCACGTAGTGTTAAAAAGACATAACACATTACTTTCACTGATCCAATCAGAATCTGACAGATCTGACGGAGGCGTGGTTTTGATGAGGTTTGGTAATTTTTCATTTGACAATAAACCAAAACATCTGAAGTATAAAACTATGCCACATCAGCTCGAACACCGGTTCAGGCGTTCCAGAGAAAGTGACGGAGTGGCCAATACTGATCTCTACTCTTTAACCGAAAGAACCAACAACAAGCTGAAAAGAAAGATTCATTGCTATACCAACTGCTTCAACAGTTCCTTTCAGAACAAAAGCTGAACCATCAAGACCTAGGCTTGGGTCTCACCTGACGCCAACAAACTGTCGTGTAATCGGAAGTAACTCACAGACTGGTCTGGTCGTAACCGCTGCTTTTCCTACCGGCTGGGTTCCAGAGAGGGTCAAGCTAAGACCTTGACATTCCAGATCTAAAGGGGCCTTCCTGAAGGGTAGGGAGACCGACATAATGGTGTCTCATGTTTATGGACCTCCTAACCAAAGCTTAATGCGAAGACAACACCTTCAGTTCCCGTCAGAACTAATCGCTTCTTCGGATTTGCTGGTTCTGATTAACATCACACGTCATCCATCCACCGTCTCATCCACTTTAGTTACACCATACAGTTAGTTTTAAAGTCAGTCTACTTTAATTTGTTAGTAATAAAATTCTTAACTTTTCAACTTGACTCTATCTCTACTGTGTCTCTGAGTGAATACGTAACGGTTATCTAATCCCTGCAATAAAAAGATCCAATCTTCTGGTTTAAATAACTCAGATCCGTAAGGTGGATTTCATATTTCCCATGGAATCCTACGTCTTATGGCTTATTAAATAACATGTAATTTAGATCATTACACTAAATACTTCCTCCTCCTTGAACCGTCACCTTATCGTGGTGGAGGTGTTTGAGTGCCCTAATGATCCTAGGAGCTACGTTGTCTTGGGCCCTTTGTGCCCCTGGTAGGGTCTCCCATGACAAATTGGTCTTAGGTGAAGGGTGAGACAAAGAACGGTTCACAGGATCTTTCATGGAGGTAAAGTCAAAGAGTCGGAGTACCCGGCCCGGAGGGTTACCGGGGTCCCACCCTGGAGCCAGGCCTGGGGTTGGGGCCCGTGAGCGAGCGCCTGGTGGCCGGGCTTTCGCCCATGGGGCTCGGCCGGACCCAGCCCGAACCGGATACATGGGCTCATCCAACTATGGACTCACCACCCGCAGGAGGAACATGAAGGGTCCGGTGCAATGTGGATCGGGTGGCAGACCAAGGCGGGAGCCTTGGCGGTCCGATCCCCGGACAAGAAAACTGGTTTTTGGGACATGGAACGTCACCTCGCTGGCGAGGAAGGAGCAGGAACTTATGGCAGAGGTTGAGCGGTACCGGCTAGATATAGTCGGACTCACCTCGACACATAGCATTGGCTCTGGAACCCAAGTCCTTGAGAGGGGTTGGACACCCTCCTTTGCTGGAGTTGCTCCGGGTGAGAGGCGGAGGGCTGGGGTTGGCTTTTTGTTAGCCCCAAGACTCTCTGCCTGTGTATTGGGGTTTACCCCAGGGGACAAGAGGGTAGCTTCCCTGCGTCTTCGGGTGGGGAACAGGTCCTGACTGTTGTTTGTGCTTATGGGCCAAATATCAGTTCAGAGTACCCACCCTTTTTGGAGTCCCTGGGACGAGTGCTAGATAGTGCTCCATCAGGGGACTCCATTGTCCTGCTGGGGGACTTCAATGCTCATGGGCAATGACAGCTTGACCTGGAGAGGGTGTGATTGGGAGGAACGGCCCACCTGACCTGAACTCGAGTGGTGTTTCGTTATTGGACTTCTGTGCAAGCTGCAGTTTGGCCATAACGAACACCATGTTCGAACATAAGGATGCCCATCGGTACACTTGGTACCAGGGCAGCCTAGGTCGCAGGTCGATGATAGACTTTGTAGTCGTACCATCTGACTTGCAGGTGAAGAGAGGAGCAGAGCTGTCAACTGATCACCACCTGGTGGTGAGTTGGATCAGATGGCAGGGGTAGATGCCGTGTAGACCTGGCAGACCCAAACGCATAGTGAGGGTCTGCTGGGAACGCCTGGCAGAAAAACCTGTTAAGAAGGTCTTCAACTCCCACCTCCGGCAGAGATTTTACCACGTCCCGAGAGCAGTGGGGGACATTGACTGCGAGTGGGCCTTGTTCCACTCTGCGATTGTTGAGGTGGCTGTTTCTAGCTGTGGTCGTAAGGTGGCCGGTGCCAGTCGTGGTGGCAACCCCCGTACCTGCTGGTGGACACCAGAGGTTCGGGGGAGCCGTCAGGCTGAAGAAGGAGGCTTACAGGACGTGGCTGGTCTGTGGGTCTGCGGAGGCAGCAGACAGGTACCAGATAGCTAAGCGGGGTGTAGCAGTGGCAGTTGCCGAGGCAAAATCTCGGGCGTGGGAGGAGTTTGGTGAGGCCATGGAGAAGGACTATCGATCAGCTCCAAAGAGGTTCTGGCAAACTGTCCAGCGCCTCAGGAGAGGAAGGCAGCAACTCGCTCACACTGTTTACAGCGGGGATGGGGAGCTGCTGACGTCAATTGGGGCTATAGTCGGACGGTGGAAGGAATACTTTGAGGAGCTCCTCAATCCCACCTACGCACATTCCAAGGAGGAACCAGAGTCGGGAGACCTGGGGATGGACTGTCAATCTCAGGGGCAGAAGTTGCTGAGGTAGTCAAACAACTACACAGCGGAGGAGCCCCGGGGGCGGATGAGGTTTGTCCTGGGTATCTCAAGGCTATGGATGTGGTAGGGCTGTCATGGTTGACACGTCTGTGCAACTTT